CAAATAAATAAAAATATATAATTTTTATTTTTTCAAATTGTTTTTATTGTTTTTTATTATTTTTCTAATTTTTAAACGTATTTATTCATATATTATTTTTTTAATTTGTAAATTTATTTTTGCAGTTATTTTTTTCATTTTTTAAAATTTCTTTTCTCTTTTAAATTTTTTTATATTGTTGCTTTAAAAGCAAAGGAAATCTGCGCACGACATTCCAACTGCACATATAAACGACATTATAAAAAAATTAAATACATTAAAGAAAAAAATAAAAATAAAAAATAATAAAATAAATTTTAAAAATATATATTTTCATCATTTTATTTATTCGTCTTTATATTTCTACTGTTCTGAGCTTTTTCTTTTATGGATTCACTTTTGATTAATATTACCACATTGTTATTTTTATTTAGTTTTGTTTTTATTTCCACTTTTATTTTATTGATCTTCTATTGATGTATTCTTGTCATTTGCCCTCACTGCTCCATCACACCGTCTGTTTCCTCCCCGTCAGTCTGCTCTGGTCTTCTGGCTTAATGAGGGCATCGATGGCGTCCAGCTGTCCGGAGTGGAGCGGGTCGCCGCCGTGGTTCCGTCTCTGTGGACCGACATCCGGGCCATCGTCCAGAACGGGACGGAGGAACATCCGGAGAACAGGTCGGGAACCACGAGAGTTAATCTGGCTGAGAGGAAACGGAGAAGTTAGCTGGAGGACGATCAGAGGCAGGAATGTGATCAGTTCAGAACAAAATGAACGTCTGAAGCTCAGAATGTGTCGCCGGTAGTGATGCACGATGTGAACATCTCTGGCCGACACCGATATCTGATATCAAGACTTCCGATATCGCCAATAACCGATATCACCGATATCGATATTCAATTTTTGTTCACATCGAAAAATGAGTCTCAGTAAGAACTGTGAGAAAAGAAGCCAGATTAGACCACATGGTCGTCTTTAGAATAAAAGTCAGACATGTTTGAACATATTTTAACATATTTAAGTTCAGGACCATTTAAGTAAAAACATCTGTGAAGCAGCAGCGATACCAGACGTAGAGACGAAGGCGCTGATGTTAGACAATCATCAGCTAAATGTGTTCATCAGACCGATACCGATATATCAGAAAAAACACTGATATCGGCCGATACCGATGTGGATGGGTTCCAGAAAAACATGTTTACAGCAAAGAAGATCTCCAGAATGACTCCATCAGCCAGAAACTGTAACATCAACCAGTCAACAGATTTATAACCTGTCCCTGAACGCACCACATTCACCAACTATCATCACTGTTTTACACGTTTCAGTCAGAAGTTTTGATGAAGTCACGACGCTCAGATTATTATTATGTTTTTCGTACAGAATGAGCTGCAAACACTTCGTGTTTTTGGAGAAAAAAGCAATTTTTGATAAAATATCACAATTTTAAGCTCAGATTAAAAAATAATAATAATTCTGTTGATAGAACTGAACGCCTCTCAGTTAAAACCTGATTTATTCTGTTGTACAGGTTCTGGATGATCAGTGTGTCCTCTGGAGAATGACCTAAACAGGTTCTAGGGATCAGGAGGTTATATCAGGATTTATTTCAGGTGGAATAAACGTTTCCTTCTTCTTCTATCTGAGTCCTGATGTCTTTAGAGTCTGTTTCTCCAGACGTTCGGCTTCATTCAGTAAATGTTGGGTTTTTAACTCAGCAGCAGCTTTTAGCTTCAGACTGGACTGTTTCCGGTTTAATTTACATGTAAAACCAACTTTTCCTTCTTCCACCTGCGTCTGTCCTGATTTACTGAACAATCCTGGACATGTCAGTACTTTTCCTCCTCTCTGGCTGTTTCAGGCTCCTGGTGGGCGTCACCGACGTCTCCTCGGCTGACGACGTCTCCTCGCTGCTCTCCTCCACCGGCGTCGACCTGCTCGTCTCCAGGGTCCTGAGCTCCGGCGGCCCGGACGCCGCTGAGCGCGCCCGGTCGGTGGAGCGGCTGTACTCGGACCACAGCCAGCTGAAGCTGGCCTGGAGCTTCGGGGGCCGAGCCGACGGCCACCTGGCGTCGCTGGGCGGAGCGGCGCTGCTGCGGCTCCACCAGCTGCTGCTGCTGACGCTGCCCGGGACGCCGGTGTTCAACTACGGCGACGAGATCGGGCTGACGGACGAGGTGAGGACGCTCTGACCTGCTGCTGCTGCTCACACCTGATTATCGATTATTAACGATCGTCTCCTGATCGATCCACAGGGCACCAAGTTCCCCAGGATGCTGTGGGACTCTGACGAGGAGCTCAACGGAACCCTGCAGGTGAACTCACAGAAAAACCTTTAACCTGAGAAAAGGTTCAGCAGCATAACAGGAACATATAAAAAGACAGTCTCAGCACTACAAGATAAAAGATCTGACCCCAAACTACAGACAGACAGCACTAGTGGAGCCCAGAGAGGAGTTGAGTTTCTGTTGGATCAGATGGAATCAGTTGATCTTTGGTGAACCTTTAATGAGACACAAACATCAGACTTTAAGCTCAGATTTGGTTATTTTTAACCGAATATCTCATAGAATAATACTATAACAAAAATCTGAAAATGAAAAACAGGTTTTTAATTTAAATTAAAAATTAAAAACCTGCTTTTAATTTTCTGATGATGAACGTTGTTGTTTGGGGATTTTTTTTCTTTTAAAGATAAAACACGGCACTGCAAAAGATGGTCGCTTTTAATGGTGCAGTATTATCAGTAGTATTCTGTGTACCGTCTGCAGTACTTTTAGCAGTATTCTGTGTACTGATGGTGTCCTCTGGCTGCAGGAGGAGCGCGCTGAGCGTCTCTCCTGTCGCAGCTTCTTCCAGACGCTCAGCGAGCTGCGGGGTAAAGAGCGCTCGCTGCTGTTCGGCGACTTCGAGCTGCTGCAGAACTCGTCGTCCTCCCTGGCTTACCTCCGGGTCTGGGACCAGAGCGAGCGCTACCTGGCGGCCTTCAACTTCGCGGCGGACGAGTCGGCGGCGCTGCAGCTGAGAGGCGCCTCGCTGCCCCAGCGGGCCGCCGTTGTAGTCAGCACCAACAGCAGCGCCCTGCCGGCCGACAGGAGCCTGGACCTGAGCGAGTTGCGGCTCGGCCCCGGACAGGCCGCGCTCCTCAAGTTTCCCTACAAGGCATAGAAAACACGCCAGTTCAGATTCAGTTTAATCTGCAGCTAGAAAATCTGATCAAAGCCTCGTTCAGACAGAAACACGTCAGAGAGGAGATTTAGCTCAGTGTTCAGAGACAAGACAGTTCAGAACTCCATTAACAATCTGTCTGTTTGTAGGTTCCTTCAGCGTGCCGGTCACTCTCCAAGTCAGAACTACGTCACCCTGACATTAAATATGTTCTTAGCTTTAGTGTGACTTCACCTTCATGAGGATATAGTTATGATGTCTGTCCAGGATAATCCTCAATAAATCAGCCTAGAAACCACAGAGAGAGTTCAGAAACTGCCTTCATGTCTGGTTTCAGGTTTTGTTTAAAAGTTGTTTTTTCAATGTGGTTTAAAAGATCAGTCACATTAAATATATATAGCTAGAGTCAGTCTGAGTTAAACTTCTCCAGAATTTCATCATCTTTCGTCATCAATGTAATTACAAATTAAAAAAAAAAAAAAAACTGTTCAGAACTCCATTGAGAAACCGTCTGTTTTTAGGTTTCCTTTAGAGTCACAGTAATCTGGTGCTAGTTGTTGTTATGTACATGATAAACTGCAGCTAACGGAGAATTCAGCTACTTTTAATGTGACTTCATGTTGAATTTGAGCAGAAAAACAGCAGCCTATTGAAGCTATAATTGTTACTGAGCAGGTGGTGGAAAACAAATCCTGTCTGAACGGTGCTTTACTCTGATTCTCTGGTTCATAAATGTTTGCTGGTGTTTTTGTCGTTCGCGTTTGTATGTGGTAAATATAAATCTTATCATGTGACAATTCACTAAACTTAATTAAACTCTGTGTCATGAATACTGCGAAATCACAAGAAAAATAAAAACTAATGAACATCAAAATGTGAAAATGTGACGTCTTCTTTTCATATAAGTCTGAAATCTTTAGTGATCTTTAGCGTAGAACTACATTATAAAATTATTTTGCAACAGAGTAATCGTGTATAGAAAACAATCCTGGTATCAAATGTAGAAAAAAACAATCCTTTCATTGTCTAGAACTTGTTCTGACCAACCGTATATCACACGTAGACCCAGAGGGAACTTTAAAGTTTTCTCTGGTGAATTATCAGAAAACTGAAGAAGGTTCTTCGGTCAAATGAGATCAAAATAGAGGTTTTTGTCCATCAGACGAGACACCAAATAGTGTATATCATTACAAACACACCATTCCCACTGTGAAGCACAGTGGTGGCAGCATCATGATGTGGGGATCTTCTCAGCAGCAGGTTCTGGAAGGCTGGTAAAGATTTTAAAGTAAAACAAACAAAAAAAAGGCTACCAATGATTGTTTCTAAGACTCTATGTCATAGACATTAAACTGGTACCACTATGAGACATCCCATAATACTGATGCTACCAGCTGCTGGCAGAGGACATGAACAGAACCAGGTCCAGTGTTCAGACTGAGACACCTGAATGGATGTAGAACTGATCTGGTGTCAGATTCTACCAGAACCCAGATGTGTTCTTCCTCCTAAATGTCATGTGTCTATCTGCTGTACTGATGAAGTTCTGAGGCTCAGAAATGATGGAAAAAGTCCATTAAAGTGATCAATCTGGACCCTCCTCTGTGGACTTCAAGGACCTGGAACTCTGGAACATTCACAGTCTGAAGGTAGAACTCTGGTCAGTAGATAAAGGTTCTACAGATACAGAACCAGGTGGATCAAACCTGATGTTCCTGAAGTGACCTCGATGATCTTTCATCCGCCTTCATCGTCTCTGGCCAGAGCAGCTGATTTATTGTAGTTCACAGTTTGTCCTGCAGGAGGCAGAAGATGCTCATAAAAAAAACTCCAAAAAACTTCGGATAGTCTGTGAATCATCTCCACACTGTTGTTATTATCATTATTACATCTATGACCTGCACTGAAGGCAGCACATGAGACCGGTTTATACAGTAAAGCAGCTGTACTTGTGCAGCACAACAAGGCAACACACTGATTTAGACGAGATGTACATGAAGAAGCCTGCAGGGTTCTGATGGTCCAGACCTGCCTGAGGTGTCAATGATCACCGAGCTCCTGTTTGCAGATCAGAAAACTGCAGTTCTACACAACTAGACTGTTTTCTGAGTTATGTTCTGACGGAAACGTATTTTCTGACACGTTATGATTGTTGGTGATGAATCACAAAACCAACACACAGACACACAAGTATGAAGTTACACAGAGGGACCGATCAAAAGACTAAAACAAGACAGAACACTCTCAAAGACACACAAAAAGACACAAAACAACCACATAGACACAAAACAACCACAAAGTTGCACAAAATAAGAAACAAAAAGTATACAACTACAAAAAGACAGAACAATGACAAAGACACACGAAAAGACACAAAATAGCAACAAAGACACAGAACAAGAGACAATTAAACACTACAAAGTTACACAAAACAGCCACAAGGAGACACGAAATGTTTCAGTTCAAACTGAATAAAGTTTATTGACTATAAGAAGTGTTTGATGTAAAATAAAATCAGTTTCTCAAACACGACGTCTTCCTGTCTCTCGTTTATGTCGTCGGTCCAGTTAAAACTCACTCTAACTGAACTGTTGTGTGTCTGTGAATCATCCGTCCTGTGTTTACTTTTCTCTGTGTGAAGCCTCATCATGTGAGGATTCTTTTTTTTTTTTTTTTTTCTATGAATGTGACCACAGATCTCTGGAGTTTTCTTCTGTCTGTCTCTTTTAATTAAGCTCCGGCTCTTAATTCCCTCACCTGATTAGTGAAACTGCATTAAACATCCACACTGGAGCTCAATCAGCCCATCGCCATGACAACAGCATCCCAACAGCATCCCTCTGTCGTCGCCGCCGTCCTCCTCCGTTTAAAGAACAGCATCGATCTGTCACATCACAACCGCTGCTCTTTATGTTCTCCTTCGGGGAGCCGATGAATAAAAGATGTTTTATTGTGGAGGAGTTAAGCGGCGCCGCGTCGTCCTCATGAATAAAAGAAACGCCCTCAGGTGGAAAACAGGTAATCAGACGGGCTCCTGCCTTTCATTCATAATGCAGGACAGTTTTTACATCCATTTTTTACAGGTGATCAGACGCCCGAAGACAAAAGCTGGAACAAAGTCTGTTAGCAGGAGGATCAAAGACAACGCCAGCCTCAATAATTCACAGCAAGAGAAGAAGAAGAAGAGCAAGAAGAAGAAGAGCAAGAAGAAGAAGAAGAAGAAGAAGAAGAAGAAGAAGAAGAAGAAGAAGAAGAAGAAGAAGGTCTGATCTGATAATGAGGAACGTCTGCAAGGAGCAGCAGGAGGAAAGGTTGGAAGTTCAAATCTCACTGTGAGCAAAACAAAGAGAGTTTAATTAGAGAGAAATAATGTGAAGAGATGCAAAACAACCACAAAGAGATGCAAAGATCACACCAAGAACTACACAAAATTACAAAACTACAACAAACACACACAACAAAACCGCAGTGAGTCTCAAAACAACCACATAGAGACACAAACCCTCAACAAAAAGATGCAAAACGACCGAAAAGAGCAGCAAAATGACGACAAGGAGGCACAAAACCACCACAAAGACACACAAACACAACCAGGAATGGGTTGCAAAACCATCACTAAGAATCCCAAAAAAGACCTCAGAGACACAAAACCACCACACAGTCTTAAAAAACAGGAATTCAGAATTCACCGCCGTGCTTCACATCATGATGCTGCCACCACCGTGCTTCACGTGCAGTTTCTGCTGCATCAATTTGACCTGATGGGATAAATGCGAGAATATTTTCAGATGCCAGAAATCACACCTGAGATTAAACAGATTAATAAATAATAACAATAATACCAACAGTGAGTTTGTGTCTTGAGCTGCTGTCTGACAGAATCTCGGCTGTAAACTGACTCCGTCCTGATCTCAGCTTCACTTAAAGCTTCATCTCTAAAGTCAACATCTGTATGTTTTATTAACGTAGCAGAAATCTGCCCTCATCAATAATACACAGCGGCAGACACACACTCGCACACAGACACACACTCGCACACAGACACGCTAACAGTTTCTGTCCGCTCACAGTCGTTGTGCTAAGCTAAGCTAAGCTAAGCTAACAGCCAGAGAGCATCAGCTCTAAAGGCCTAGGACACAACTGGCCAGAAGGACGGAAAAAAGCAACACAAAAACGCACACAAACAGACACACAAAGTAACCACAAACACACAAAACAAGCACAAAACCACCACATAGTGACAAAATCCTGAAAAACAGTAAGAAAACGACCACAAAGACACACAAGAATCACAAAAAAGTCACAAAACCACTGCCAAGATACACATCTACACAAAGTGACCACGAAGACACATGAGAATCACAAAAAGACACAAAACAAGTGCAAAGACGTCAAACCTCAGAAACAGAAATGTGAAAAACCGACTACACAACTCACAACAGACTCAAAAAGACACAAAAACCACCGCAAAAAAAGACGCAAGAAATCTCAACACTGAGACGCAAATCCACCACAAAAACAGATAAAACCATTATAAAGACACATAAAATGACACAAAACCACCATGGAGACACAAACCAACACAAAACAACCACACGCAGGTATGAAACCACCACAAAGAGACAAAACACAACTGCAAAAACGTACAAAACAAACACAAACAACCACAAAAACGTACAAAACAAACACAAACAACCACAAAAACATGCAAATTAACCACAAAGACACACACAGTAAAGCTGCAGGTCGTCGTTTGGTCCTGAGGTTCAACATGTTTCTGTGTCTGCTGTTGTTCTTCCTGATTAAATCTCTTCATGGAGCAGATTTGAACCTTTTCTCCGTTTCTGACAGTTTCTCGGCTGTGATGAGGTCAGCGATGAGGTCAGCGATGAGGTAACACCTCAAAAGGTAAATCATGGCTTCCTGTCTCGTGTTTATCTCCGACTCAGCAGCAACAACACAACTGGTGCTGCTGATGAATAGTGGATGAACTTCAGAAG